ATATATTTGCTTATTTCGCTAGCTACATTTTTCCCTATAAAACTAAGAATGGAAGTGTTGAGAAAGATAAAATGAATTTACATAAAGGCCGAGTTGGGATTTGCGGAGCCCATACTGAGATATTATAATTCTCCTCCAGTATAGTTCAGAAAACCGTCTACGTCTATCGACTTCCGTAAAGAGTTGAGCGTTTTTCAGCGTAGGTATGAGGCGGTCTTTGTTTATTCATTGAGATGACGTGCACTGAATATTTGGCTTTCTGCGGAACATTTCATTGTGATCCGCTATTGACACTGTGCCGGATATTCCCTGAGCCGCCTGATTCAATGGCGTTGATTCGGGCTTTCCGGATGGGACTCCTAAGATCGGGACAGACCGACCCGGGAAGTTTCGTTGGCCTGAAGCTTCCATTAAATCAAATAATGCTGTTCAAGTTCTGAACGTAATCCCCCTCCATTGCTTTGCACCAAGCAACCTATGAGAACGATAGATTTTGCCTATTGAATCATTATTTTTCAGCAGTAGTACCAAATTATAGTGAGAAGGAAATGGAGGCTGAGAAAGGAGAATTAGGAGAGAGTTAACCCCACACTCTATTTTTTTTCTCGAACTGAAGCATAAGCCAAGCCTTCAGAAGAGCTTCCTCGCTTCATAAAATCCGAGCAGTGCCTATGAAGACCCAGCCATACTTCCAACATATTCTGTGTCGAATTAGTGATGTTTACCGTGTACACAGAATGCGTTTTAATTTACGCCGCCACCAAGTGCTCTGCCGTTAATCGAGGAGCAAACAGTTCATGAAGGACATTGGACGGAATTTTTGACCAGTCCAAGGATTTTCCCAGCATGAAATTCGCAAGAGGACGCATAAGTCCTCTCCTATTCGTCTCTGGGATTTTGGGAACGTGCCAACTTATTTCTCGATTTCTTCTGAATCGGCAAAGGTGGACAAATGAGAAGAGGTATGATGANAAACAGTTCATGAAGGACATTGGACGGAATTTTTGACCAGTCCAAGGATTTTCCCAGCATCAAATTCGCAAGAGGACGCATAAGTCCTCTCCTAGTCGTCTCTGGGATTTTGGGAACGTGCCAGCTTATTTCTCGATTTCTCCTGAATCGGCAAAGGTGGGCAAATGAGAAGAGGCATGATGATCTGGTGATCGAACCCCCAGACCTAATCGTCAAATCGTACCCAGCTCAACTTCTACCTAACGCTGACCAGTCAGCTGGTGTCAGACCCGTCTCAAGGAAAGAGAGTACTGAATTCTATATTGGCTAATCCCTACACTTCAATGTATAGACCAAGTACCCATTCCAAAATCATTGCAACTCCGAATAAAAGCCCAATGCATGGCGCGTACCAGTGGCGGATGGATGAGTCCTCTATTGCAAACTAAAATTTCGATGAAGAAAACCTCGTAATTTTCAGTGTCATCATGGCAGTGTTCTCAAGGAACGATGGACGTGCTTGGCGTGTTCGACGGACTTTGCTACAGCGCTTCCAAAGAGGAGCGAGCCGATTGGCAAGGAGCCCAACGACGATGTTTGGACAGGTCCTGAACAGATTTATAATTTAGCTCAATTCAGAATGCTTGCTCACTGATTATTTTTTCAGATAATAGTTTCAATATGATTTTAAATAATTAGCAAACGTTAATCAGTTCTGCAAAACCAGAAAAGTATACGCCGCTGGCGTCGGTTTTGTGTTCGCCCAAGCTTCGAACTGCAGGCAACCGCCATCTCCAGGGAGCGGCGGTGAGGGGTGACGGGTGCCTTTCTCGCTATAAAGCGCTGAAAGTGCCCGAAAACCGAAAAACCGCAAAACGATCCTAAACGACCTTGCCAGTTGAAGTCGTTCCAGGACTTTGGGAAGGCCGCGCCTCCCTGCCAATTTTTGGGAAGGTCCAATAGGGCCTAAAGTGAGGGTGGTGTACTGGATTCCCAAACAGTCGACCTATTCTTCATTTAGATTTATATTAATGATATAATACATTAATGGTATTTATAGAACAATCAGATTCTATAAATAATATTAATGTATTAAAGCTATCTATTCAGGTTATACACTGAGAAACGCTACTTTTTACACATCATTGACAGGGAACAATGCCAAGCAGTACACAAAACCAATAGAAAATCAGCACCGTCTTTGACCATTTTGGAAAAGAAATAGCTGGGGTAAGTCACTGAAAGTCGGAGTTGCCACGAGGTCGTTACCCGACCAATGAGATTACCTGTCCCCAGTCCGTCCGTACAATGAGACTATTCTGATTGTGAGATGAGCCACTTCGGCCTACTGATGACCATGTCGTGGCCCGAACTGTAGTTCGGCCGTGCAAGGAATTCTGCCTACAGTATTTCACTGTAGCATGTTGTTTTAAGTGCTTTGTTGTCCATCAACAAAGGATCCTTTGGTTTACTAAGAAAAATGGGAGGGAGGTTGGAAGGGGTGGGGAAAGGAGGTGGTGTTCACAATAATAGTGAAATAACGTTGACAATTGTCATTACATTAACATTCCAAATTGAAAACTGACGTTAAAGGGGGTCATTAATGGAAACAGTTATTGCCAATCATTACAATTTATCAAAATTCATATGTCATATCATAATTTGATTCAACTAACTGCAGAGGAGCCACACTTCCAATGAAAATTACCGATACTGCTCAACGAGGACTTAAAGCCGCACTCAAATCCTCTACCCAACAGAAGGATTTCTATTGGATAGGTACCCAATTTATGGCTTTATTCATGTTTATCGTCTTTGTACGTATATTACTTAGCCTTTACATGGAATCAGTTATTTGTATCCTACTATATTCGAGCCGCTAAGCTTGTCTGATAGTTTGTCTGCGTGCTATGTGTGTATATGTGTGTGTATGTGTGTATGTGTGTGTTTGGGTTTCTGAAGCTGCAAATTACTAACCTCTCTATTGAACCAGAGAGTGTTGTTGGTTTTTCGGTGGGTGTGTATGTATGCTGTATATCTGCACGTGTGTTTGTGTGTGTGTGTCGGTGTGTGTGTGTTTGTTTGAGAATTCTCAAGTACCTGTTGGCCTAGATGGCTAAAATTCGATAGGTGTCAAGCAACTGTATGGAAACACTAATGGTAGGTGGTAGGTGCAGGCTCCGCCCACAGGGGCGGGGCGTGTGCAAAATTGCTCCCTTGGAGCCAATGCGTTGAAAGTGGAAAAGTGCACATGCGGCAGGATGGGAACACTTATGACAGGTGACAGAACTAGAGCCAACCCAAGAGATGTGAGGGGAGTCGAAAATCGACGCTCTCCAAAAGCCTTCGAGATTATGCACCATTAACGCACAGCTTTACTCTCTCCAGACAAGCGTTCCCGTGGGATGGGATTCACGATATGGGGACCAACCGACACCGACTTGCTGAGCCGTATGTTGAGTAACTAACCGTTTGGTCGCAGCTTTGTTCCCTTCAAAGTTGAAGAGATGTGGTGGGAATTGCTATAAACGTAGCGATCGATAATAGCAACCAATCGGACTCTTCACTTAAATAATTGCCATCGAATAGTGTTTATAGCCCTTTCCTTTTCCTCATTTTATCAGGAGCCTCCATGTCCTTTTTAAGAATGTCTTTCACCTCAGTTAGTCACTGAAGTAAGTACATAAGTTAAGTGCCATCTACCTACACGGTGGTATACCTCTAGAGGTTGAACATTAGATTCTACAATTCTACATTCTACAGTTACAACGATTCTACAAGGAAGATTAAAACGTGTAGATAGACTTACTCATTAGCTTTACATAGTACATTGCCCATGCATACGTGCACGTTATTCCAGGAGTGACCTCGTCGCTGACGAATTGGCGTTGGGCTGATGGGACAGTTGTATCCGACGAGGAAGCCGACTGGTCCGGATCTCCCATTCAACCAGCCAATCGTCCAGAAGCGATCGTGATGGCTCGAGTGGCAGACTGGAAATGGATACCATCAGCTCAAAATGTTTGGAATTCGTTTCTATGTCAGAGTAGTAAGTTTTCTACGATTATTCTTGATAAAGCTCAGGCATCATGGGGAACTCCACCCACTTCGCCTAACGATTTTCAACTTCGTCATGTCATTGGTGCATCTAGTCTTATAATCCTTTCTTTATCCTTTGTTGAGTACTCTGAGAAGCTACAGTAATCATGCTCTTAACCGCTTAGGACCAAAATCGTGCACGTTTCCGGGAATCTCTGAAGCTGGACGAGTTTCATTCACTTCACCAAACTTCGCAATTGGAACGCGAGCTGTGTATTCGTGTGAAACGGGGTGAGTTTGCGTTTTTAATGGAGTTCCCTGAATGGAAAGGCAAACAGGCGGCTATTTTAAGCTACGAACTGAAAGGTGATGTTGAGCGGCATTGCGACGAAACAGCCCGATGGAGTGGGACCATACCGAAGTGTCAAAGTCCGTATCCGCTTCTTGGTTTGAACCAGTCATTTTTAATAATTTACAATTAACAGCTACTTCCAGTAATCTCAACATTTGACTATTTTAAGTCATTGAACAGAAGTAATTTAGAAAAGAAGTGCGATAGCATGGAGGTATGGCGTGGCGGTGGAATAGTGCGACTACTGAACGAGACAGCTGAATTTGGCAATGAGGTCCAGTCCCGGTTTTTCTTTTCGAGTGGGTTAGAAGTCTTCTGACTAAATAGAACGGCAATTTCAGATTCAATATGAATGTCTGAATGGATGGAAACTCATAGGCGAAGAAAGGAGGCGGTGCATGCATGACGGTACCTGGAGCGGCGTAGCTCCATATTGTAAAGGTCTCGAATTTCTAGACTTTCGCTAATTTCCTGCAAAATCATATTGGAAACATTGGCCAAATGGTTTGCTAACCCCTGATATACCCTGAAATCCAGTAGTTCGCAGCACAAACGAAAATATTTGGAAGCTCTTCACATCCCACCAAAAACTCAATAGCTGCCTGCATTGGTGCTGAACTAGATATACTCTATCCAAAGGAAAGTTAGACCACAAATCTTTGAAACAAAGTGTGGCCATTTTTTCAGTAGTACTGTATTAAATGCAGTAAAACTAAAACATAAAAAAAAACTTTTAAGGCAGCTATTCACATAAATTA